ACTATCAATATACCAATCTTGCTCAGAGATTGCTCCAGCACACAGTTCCTGCATTAATAAAAGGAAGATTTAGGTACTCAAGCAATGTTGGGTCCTAGGGGGTTATGCAGTCTTGGCAGCCGGTACCACTTTGGTCTCATCAAGTGAAACCCTGGTGGGTGGTACCCATTGTCCACCTGGTGGTCATAGTAAACAGAAGTGTGATTCACTTTAGGCAGATGCTTTTGAGGATCATGCTTCCTGTTTACGTACTTCTGCATAGCCTTTTTGGTTGGGTAGAAGTCCCATATACTATCAAGAGCAGATGGGCATTTAGCTTTGGGCTTCTGAGATTGACCAGCCAACCTCTTCTGCCTGAAGTTAATTTTCTCTTGATATTTGCCTCTCTGGTGATCATCTCTGGTAAGGTAGTCATGAGGATGTCTGGTTGTGTTTTGTCTTTGATTTCTGTAATTTTGAAAACTTTTCCTGTTGTTAAGTTTTCTGCCAAGTTCATTATTTTTCAAATCTTGTTTGGGTTGAACCTTTATCTTTTGTTTTTCTGGTCTGACTTCCTTATGAACCACCTTGGTACCAGATACACTAGCTTGGCAAATGGGGCTAGAGATTAGTGGCACTATGACCTTATCTGCCGTAGCAACTCTGGTGCTAGGCATTACACAAAGCTCACCTGAACCTGTTGAGCCATAACCAAGACCAAAACTGACGCCAATTTGTTGATCAAGTACAATCTTTTCCATGGAAGACTGTGCCTTCTGGTAAGCTTTGTACTTAATCTCAAGAGGCTCTATTTCTCTTATTCTCTTGAGAAGTGAAGCATTTTCAGCTTCCAGCTGACCTCTCTCCTTAATCAGAAGATTGATTTTGGTCTCAACCTCCTTTCTTAAGTCAAGAATCTCAACCTTAAGCTTACTGTTTTCTTCTTTGACAGAGGAATAAGTGGCTTGGATGACTTGAAACTCTTCCCAAAATTCTGACATTGAATCTGAATCAAAAGCTTTGCCTACCAAAGAAAAACTAGATGTAGAAGTAGAGGTTACCTCATCATCAGATTGACCCATAAGGCATAGATCTTCAATTTCTGTATCCAGACAACAGAATGCCTCATCAGACTCTGATTCTGAGCTGGACTCTGTCTCAGAGAGGGGATCCTTCTCTGGTTGCTCAGTGATGAGTGCCTTCCTCCTTCTGTGCTCATACTTTTTTTCTCCTTCTTGGCCTTGCCTTTTGGAGACTATTGGGTGTGGACAGTTGGCTTTGAAATGCCCTGGTTGTCTGCAGTTGTAGCAGAGAAGCTCTCCACTACTTTCTGATGGTTTGGATTTCTGGAATGGCTTTCTGCCAGAGGATGGACTTCTGCCATCCTTTGGCTTCATAAATTTCCTAAACTTCCTGGCAAAGGCAGCCATATATTCGTCAGTTAAAAGTAAGGAAGGGTCAAAGTTATTTACCTGTGAGGTGCTGGCTGTGAGGGCAGTAGTTGTTCTGTCCTCAACTTCTTCTTTCTCTTCTTCATTCATCTCGAACTCATAAGACTTGAGATTAGAGATGAGTTTCTCAGTGCTGTAGGTTCTGAGATCCTTGCTGTCTCTCATGGCAGTGACCTTCATCTTCCAGGGTGAAGGTAGACCTCTGAGAACCTTTAAGTTGATATCCTTGGGAGTGAGATCCTTCCCAAGCTCTGAAATCTCAGCAGTGAGGGTGAGCAGGCGTGCATACATCTCAGCTATGCATTCCTTGGGGAGAAGTTTGAAGTCTTCAAACTTCTTCATGGCAATTGTGAGCTTGTTGTCTTTCTCCTGCTCATCACCAGCTCCTATCAGGGTAAGAGTATCCCAGATAGCCATGGCAGATGTGCACTTCTTGATCCTTGTGAAATACTTGTCATCAATGGCCTTGTACAGAATGTCCTTGGCTATGTTATCAAGATTATACTTCCTTCTTTCTTCATTCGACCATTCATGGCGAAGCTTAGTGATCATTTGGGGTTGACCACTGCCAGCAGAGTACTCAGGATTCACCTTCGTGAACTCAGTGAAAGGACCTGCATCTAGGACTTCCCACATTTCATCGTGTAGTGCGCAGAGATGGGCTTTCATGCGTGTCTTCCAGTCATCAAACTTGGTAACTGAAAACGTCAGGTTCTTTGACAGAGTGTTATCCATAATAAGAGATTAAAAGTGGCTAAAACAAGTGAATCTCTGTTCTGTGAGTAACCTAAAAGATTACAAGAACGAGGAGGCTCTGATACCACTTGTAGGTCCCGTTTATATTAGGAACAGTCTAGAGGGGGGGGGGGGGGGTGAATAGACTGTTCAGGATTTTTCAAAACATGTCTCTAAGTCAATACTGACTCTTCAGAGAAGGTCCAAATCTGGTGACAGAGAAGGTCAAGTTCTGATGGCAGAACTGGACCTGGCAGCGGATTGGTTTCTGCCCGGGTAGCCTCAGGAAAACACTAAGGCAAATGCCTTTCTGATAACTTTTAAGGAAGATCTGCTGAACACAGAGTCCAACCTTTTAAGTTAAGCAGTTAAAGTCTAAAGTGCATAAAGTAAATGCGTAAAGTAAATGACATCGGGGATATTTATAGTGGTTCAAGGAACAGCGTGTTCCTCTAGTCCACTGTTCCACTAAGCTTGTAAGTTAACAATTACAACGCCTTAGTCCCTAGCACTTAAGAAGCACTCCTCGTCTTTTTCAAGTCTAGTTGCCACCCGGGATGCAGTCCTGCTTCCTGATGGCTGGTCTCATTTCACTGAGTCTCTCGGAAGTATCCCCACTTCACTTACTACAGTTAATTTGAGACGTTCCTTCTTTTTCAAGAAGTGAATGATTCAAGATCAGTTTTCTCCAACACAGCTTCTTCACAAAGGATGTATAAATGAGGCTTTCGAAGTGTTGAAGAACTGGAGAAACTTTGCTCTTTGTTGGACGAGAGGATAAGGAGTTGATATCTTTCCAACGTAAGCTTTTCTTGTTTGAAGTGAATGAATTTGAAATCTCAAGAAAGCTTGGATGCTGAGGGTATAGTTTTAGCAAAATGTAGAGCAAAAGTTAACCTGTAGTTCTTTGAAGTGTATCTTATATACCGAGAGCAGTCTTCCCGTTGGAGTGTAGAAGACAGCTTCATTAAATGCTTGTACTGTTGATTTGACCAGTTGGACCTCCGACTTGCTATTTTGGGGGCGTAAAGATATCCGCATGGTCAATCATCAACTTTATATATATCTTCGTACGTACCGCATTAATTGAGCATTTATTGTGTGTACAGTACCCTGTTTCCGTCGAATGGCTCCTAGCCGTTAGGGAATTTCCCGTTAGTTTCACGGTCGTTGGAATGTTCCTTCGAATTCTGCTAAGTAAGAGCAAGTCCGATGAGGCTTTCTGGTCCGAACTCTGATGTCTGCCTCTGATGCCCACTCTGGTACCTGCCTTGGTACCCAACTCTGGTAGCTTCTCTGGAGAGCAACTCTGGGAGCAACTCTGGTAGACATTCTGATCAAGAAGACCAAGAGGGTTTGTGGCATGTCGACTATGCTAATACTTACAAAGAAAAAAAAACTAATGCAAAATTTCTATAGGGGTACCTTCTAATTCTAAGTAACCTAGCATCATCAAAATCTAATTACATTTATCCCTTACATGGAGGATTGTTGGAAAATGTGCTAAAATTGCATTAAATGGTCATTTGGGGGCAATTATTTGAGTGGTATCCACTTCCGATTTGGATCGGGTCAAAGTGGTTTCGGATTGTCCTTGTTAAGTGCTACAATTCGATATATGATACGCTCAAAACGGATAACGGGTGAATGAGAAATTGATTCTCGAAGTTCACTCGTTGAAATGAAAAAACTAAGAAAATGATGGGTTTCTAGTGTGTTTTATACCACACCGGAAAACTCAAGGGATTTTCACCCCCTTATAAAGAGAAGCCTCTTTTAAGGAGTTAAGATTCCTAAAGGTAAAGGCTCTCTCTTGCGCGGGGGGAGGGGGGGGGGGGGGATCAAATCCCGAAAACAAAGAAGAAAAACCGCGACTCGTGTGCGCGGGCGACCTGCGGACACGAATGTCGTCCGAAAAATCTATCATTCAAAGATACAATTTAATTTTTGTTTCTTCCCGTAAACGTTTCTTTATTTTTTATAGGCTAGCAGAATCGCTCCATTTCTGTCCGGACCAGAAGAGGGTTCTGTTCTCAGCAGAACCGCTCTGCTTCTGTTCGGTTCAACAGAAACCCTCGAGGTATTCTGTCCGCAACAGAAGGGCTCAACAGAAACCTTTGAGGTATTCTGTCCGCAACAGAAGGGCTCAACAGAAACCCTCGAGGTCTTCTGGTCGCAACAGAACGCTTGAGGTATTCTGGTCGCAACAGAAGGGCTCGAGGTCTTCTGGTCTTTTACAGCAATAAATGCCCAGCGTTCTTCTCTTCTAATGCTGCGTTAAATGGACAGTTTATGGATGATTCAATGCCCAACGGACTGGTCATTGATGTCCAACGTTCAGGTCCATTAACACTACATTTAACACACAACAAATCCTCCTATAAATAGCTGGCAGGTGCTTTGCCACAGACACACGGTTTTACACGTTCACAAGCAACCATACACACGTTTTAGCTCTGAAAAACACCTGCAGCTCTCCGAAAAATTCCTCAGTGTTTCTCCTTTGTTCCCGTTCGCCGGAACTCTCATTTGTGTGCTCAAACGTTAGTTTGTTAGCCACTGTATCCTGGGAAACAATCGTTGCAACGCTCCTAGCACCGTGGGAGGCGACGAATACGTTTTAAGGACATCGTGCGTAGCACGAGTTCTGACTAAACTCTGTCCCATCTCTTTTTCTGTTTTTCTTAGGCTATTTATTTCTTAATTAATTTTTATTTAATTAATATTTCTTCATTTTTTCGAGACACACCCAACGGTTTTAACTGCCAAACCATACATAGTAGGGTGGGGCGGTCACGAACTTTTGGAGTTATAAACAAGAGAAGAATGCAATGTACGATACCAAAGTACTACATATATCATGGGTTTGGCAGATTAAACCGCTCATAATTACTTACATTAATGGTAAGTAATAATGCTACTTTCACTTTCAAGCATATTTGGCATTAAAAGTAAGAGCTTAAGGTTCAACTTCTACCAATATCAGACAAGCTTAGCAGGTTCACGATGGTTGTTAATCCTTCAATCTATCCAATGTGTAAATCCCATGAGGATACATTGGAACACTTATTCTTCCAATGCAGTAAAGTTTAACCAATATGGTATTATTTCATGGGAATTTTGGGCATCAAGAGGGTGTCTATGGGTGTGTTCTGCAGGCATTTAGAAATTGGTGGACAAAAGCAGTGTCAAAAGACCTATTTTTCGGGAATTATATGTTAGCATGTCTGGAAAGTCTACTCAAATTATATTTGGGGATCGGGGATACTATCCCATCTACAGATCATCTAATCCTTCAAATTAAACCATATACTCAGAGATGGTTTTTGACGTTGGAAAGATTGAAGATTCGCACAGTTAATAACATTCGAGCATATTATTTCACATCATTTCAATGTCTCAGGTCCCAAAATCCAAACAATAAAGTGGAGAAAACCGAGAGGTAGATCAAAACTCAACACAGAATGAGAAATCGACCGGTGGTGCGGTTCTACGTGATGCAAATGGAGAGGTTGTCTTGGCCTTCAGCTTCCCCGTTGAAGCTTCTTCTCCACTTGAAGCGAAAACTGAAGACCATTATATTTGCGTTGAAGCAGACGGTGAGCGAAGGTTTTAGCAATTTCCAGATGGGATCAGATTCTACTATGGCGCTGCGTTTTTTGGAAGATAAAGGGGTGTGATGGTAGAAGGATATTATTCAGGAAAGCACAGCCATTGCGATTAGGAAAGGGATTGATTTCGGACATACGCTGAGAGAGCGGAACTGGGTCTCATATAGTTTTCTTTAGAAGCCCATCTTCCCCTATTGGTGCTAGACGGTTTTTTTTTTATGGATTACTTTTGTATTCCATCTCTTAGATTTTAGTATTTTGATGTAATTCTCCAGGTGAAATTTCTTTATCTTGTACTGTTTATTTCTTGTACTTGGGTGAAGAAATACCTTTACTTGAGAGGATTTGGTACAGTCTCCCTCTCATTTTTGTACTACTTCATTTATAATAAAATCTCGCAAATGATACCGGCCATTTTTCCCATCGAAGGGTGCTTTGCCTACCGGGACTAGAAAAAAAAGAGGTAGGCTAGCCGAAAACTCATCAGCTCGTTATTAATTACAAATGAAAAAACATAGTGGTCGATTATATCATAGAGGTAGGCCAGCTGGAAACTCATCAGCTCGTTATTAATTACAAACAAAAAACATAGTGGTTTAACTCTAATGTTTAAAAGGTGAGATGACATTTATACGCCCTGATTTTACTCACATAGTCGTTCTAGTTGGACGCTAAGGCTATTCACCATGATTTCAATCATATTAAATCTTAGCATTCAAAATTAACTAGCATTGTTTAATCTAAGTGAAACTACACTACAACCTTCAAAAAGCACGCTCGGGACTCTTCAAACATCATAAGCTTCGTAATCATCACCTCTTCAAAATTAAGGGAAAGGGAGAAAACGCACAAAGAATAAAAATTAGCATATGATGTGCTGAGGTGTTTGAGATGTGGGGCTTGCTGCACTGGGCCGACCCGGAGGAACTCATAAAACCCCAACTGCTGGGTCACTATGGTGGGCTTCGCTAGGTTACTGACCTCCTGGATAAGAAGTTGGGCTGTCTTTTGCTATACATCCTTGTCAGTTTTTGGGCTGGGGCGGTGGGCTGGTATTTAGCTAGGATTTTGCTATTGGATATCATTGCCACTGCTTGGCAGTTACTGGGCCACTGGAATTCATGGACTTGGATAATGGGACTTTATTGCCTCGGACCCCTTGGGTTGTGTTTGGAAGGCGGACATATCCATTTGACTTTTGTGGACCTTTTGTGATATTTGTCGGGACCTGTCATGCGTCGTTTTGGACTTTTCCATAAAATTCTCTCTCTCTGCCCATCTCCCGCAAGGGGGTGAGTAGGTGAGGGGTTTGAATGGTTAGATTCTATTTTAGTTTTTTGCTGGCTTAGATAGTTTTGGTGCGTTGTAAGATGTTATTTTTGGGTGTTTTTAATATATTTAACTTTCATCTAAAAAAAGAGACCGTTGCACAAAAAAGAACGGATTAAGTGTTAATAATAAATAGTTCATTATTGCAACCTCAGTAAATCAAGTTCGTGAGTTTTCATATTTTGAAAATGTTGTATAATAGTTTCATTATCAATGCTTCTAAAAATATCTCTCAATGTAGCACACTAAACAATTCATAAGATATTCATATTTAATCTTGTCATGAAGATCTCTCTTAATAATATTCATCGCGGGGAGAAGCTCTTTCAGCGGTGGCTGTTACAACTAGTATGATTTATGAAGTTAATGCGCTGAATTTATATACCACTAGAGGTTTGGTGCATTAGACCATGTGTAGTGCTATGGCAGTCTAAAAAGTTAAGTATGGATTTCGTTGATATGAAAACTACGTCTAGACTCTGTCAATACTGTTTTTCCCTGCATTCCAGCACTGTCAATAAAATACACTCAGCATATTGTTTTACGTACCAGTTTTTTAAATTATCATAAGTAATGTCTTTTTCTAAATAATCATGAAAATATAGAAGTACACGTTTTGATGTTAACAAATAAATTTCATTTTTTAGTGTTTTCAAATTTAATAAAAAAATGAAATGAGTTCATGTCAATTTCAGGATGCACCATATATTAAAAATTTGTGTTGCGTGTTTTTCAGGCTCCAAATAACTCTATCAATTAAAAACATCATATTTTTTAACTTTATATATATATAATATTAGTGTCATATTTTTTTAACTTTATATATATAATATTAGTGTCGTATGAAAGATCATAAAATTTATAAATTTTGATATATATTTTGAAAAAAATGGAGCACAAATAAAAAAGTTATAAATCTTTAAAAGAATATGAGGTTTTATTTACGCATGGATGTCGTCAGCATGACATTATCCTCTCCACAAGCAATAGTTGTTGGTTCGCACGTCCCATTCTTCAAATTTCTTTTCTTTTTCGAGGCATCATAGGTTATGAAGAGGAGGGATATAAGCATAATGTGCAAGCAAGAAACTAAGTGAGTTGGAGAAAAGGCAGTGAGATTAATCCTGGAGGTTTTAAGCTGTGGTATTTGGGGAGAGAGAGGAATATAAATGGAGTAGGCATTATGGTGGCGCATGATTATTTTAAGGGTGTGGTTGAAGACTTTAGGAAGAACGACCGCATCATGAGCATTAAGTTGATAATATGAGATGAGATCATGTCCGTGGTAAGTGCTTATGCACCACAAGTAGGATTGGATGCATCTATCACTCAACAATTTTGGGAGGATCTTGAGGAAGTGGTGCGACGAGTGCCAAGGGGAGAGAAGCTGGTCATTGGAGACGACCTCAATGGGCATGTGGGCCCAAGTCGTGATGGTTTTGAAAGTATCTATGGCGGACGTGGTTTTGGTACTAGAAATGAAGCGGGGAAGAACATTCTGGATTTTGCCTCGACATATGAGTTGGGTGTGATGAACACTTGGAGCAAGAAAAGAGACTCTCACCTTGTCACCTATAGAAATTGAAGTAATAGTACCCAAATTGACTACTTTTTAGTATGGACAACTTGGAGAACTAGCTACACTGATTGTAAGGTTATCTCAGGTGAGATTGTGCCCACTCAACATAGAATTATTGTGCTTGATTTTCAAGGTAAAAAGAGGAGGCATGTTAAGGTAGAAGGGGAGCCAAAGATAAAGTGGTGGAGGCTCGAGGGGAATCTCCAATAAAGTTTTGCACACAAAATGTTGGAGGAAGATGTATGGTCTATTGATAATGACACACACATGGATGATGTGTGGTTATCAATGGAGTCCACCATTCACAAGGTGGCGAAAGAGATACTCGAATAATCTAAAGGATGCCTGCCACCAAAAAAGGACACGTCTTGGTGGAATGATGAGGTGAAACAAGCATTAAGGACCAAAAGAGAATGCTATAAGAATTTGGGCAAAAGTTGAAGCGACGAGAACATAGAGGAGTACAAGGAGGCTAGAAGGAGAGCAAAGAAAGATGTTAAGGAACCAGAGGAAAAGTGAAAAAGGAATTGTATGTAAAATTGGACTATAAGGAAGGAGAAAAACATATTTACAGACTTGCTCGCCTTCGTGGCCGTAGGACTCAAGATATTGGAAAAGTCAAGTGTATGAAGGATGTCGATCAAATGGTACTAATGGAGGACGAGGAAATAAATGAGAGGTGGAGGTCATACTTTGATATCTTGTTCAACGGGAATAAAGTGCAAGGTATTGATGAGCTTATATACTATAATGTATGGTAAATCGGGACTTCGTAAGAAGGATTAAAAAAACAGAAGTTAAAGATGCGATGAGAAAGATAGGGCGGAAGAAAGCAGTGGGACCAGATGACATACCGATCGAGGCTTGGAGGAGTTTAGGAGAGAAAGGAATCGAGTGGCTAACATGTTTCTTCAACATGATTTGAAGAAACAACAAAATGCCAATGAGTTGACAGAAGATTACTCTCACTCCCCTATTTAAAAACAAGGGTGATGTACAAGAATGTTCCAACTATTGAGAGATCAAGTCTATGAGTCATACCATGAAACTTTGGGAACGAGTGGTTGAGCAAAGACTTCGTAAAAGTGTGAAAATTTCGGAGAATCAGTTTGGTTTTATGCATGGACTCTCAATATGTAGTTCTTTTAGATATATAAAATAAGCCGGCTAACAATTAAGCATGACAATTTCTCTCTTTCATACGTCAGCACTAATTTAACTATTGATTAACAAGTCCTTATTTAACTAATAATAATTAACTTAAATGTTTATTGGATTCACTTAAACTTCATGTAAATCACTTATTGTACACACTTTTTTAGAGTAGTATTTAATTTTAAAATCAATTTAATCCTGAAAATTAATAAGTAGCAAATTCTAATGAGTGATTTCAATTAATTTTCCCTAATATACTCTTCATTGAATATTTATTGTATGACTTATACTTTATGATACTACCTCCGTCCCAAACTGATTTGCAAATTTGACTTTTCTTGGTCAAACAGTTTCATTTTATTGACTTAATTATGATGTCAATTTGTAATTATATTCTAATTTGAGGTTTGCAACTTTGAAGAGATTTTAATGCATTTTCTGAATATGTAAGTTTTTTTTTAACCCGGAAGGCAAACCACCAAAATCAGTGGGGTAAATGTCGGGAGTCATTTACCAGGATTTTATTAGAATCGAATTATTACATGAGAGGAGGGCCAGACCAAAGCCTCTCAACACAAACAAAAACAGAATTAAAAACGAATAGAAGGGATACCAAATAAGTCCATCCAATAAGCCTGTTTAGCACAAATGGGTAATTGATTTGGGCTACTAAATCTGTTATAAGAGCCCATTTCAGCCAAGTAGTGGGCAACCCAATTCCCTTCCCTCAGGTGATGACTGAACAAAAAGCCTTTCCTAAAAGCCATCTCTGCGGTTTCCAAAATTAGATCATTCCATCTTCTTGAGGTTTTGCCTGCGATGTATTCGATGGCCAAGGAAGAATCCGATTCGACATATATATCTTCATATCCTTCATCCGCCGCCCATTTCACCGCCTGATGAATCGCCTTCAACTCTGCCTCCAACTCCGAGCTAGCTTGCAGAGGGAAGCTGATTGCCTGAGCCATCCTCCCAGTTTTGTCTCGAAGAACTGCTCCTCCTGAAGCCGACGAAGCTAAGTAACTAGCATCAACATTAAGTTTCCAATTTTGCTTCGGTTTTTGCCATTTTACAATTCTCGGCCTTGTTTGATT